TGGTGCCGGCAGCTTTGGCTCTGGTGGAAGGGCCAATTGGTCGCCTGTAAGTGCAAACAATTGGACAAATCGTGACTTACAGCGCAAGAACTGGCAGGATAGGCTGAAGAGAAACAATGTGCTGTGTCTATGTTGATGGCATTACAAATGAAATGAATGAAATGTCTTTCCAGCAGCCATCAGTAATGGCTACCAGGTCTCTGTCGTAGCAACACTTTCAAAAACCAACCGTTCCTCTCCTTTATGTGTTTATGTCTTATTATTGTCAGCCTACTTTGTGCACTTCTGGGAGGGTCAGCGCAACAGAATGTATATGGTCCCGTTTGCAAAGCGTACCTAGTAGGGCACACAAGAACACACCATGAAATTCATCTCTTCAACCCCTAGCCTGGCTTTAAAACTGTGCCTTTGCTTGATAATACCTCGCAGGGTGAAGACCTTTCGATTTGGTGCGTTTTGACAACAAGCCGAAAACGAACACAGGATTCCACGCAAAACTGTGCTAGACCAGACCTTCTCAGATTAGAACTATTCTCAAAGAACACCCTCCATTTGAGCGCCGCCTGTTCCCAAAACCGCACTGTGCGGTCGTTTGGCTCTAATTCATTGTCCGAAATCATCATTCAAGTGATGGAAATCAAAGGCCTCCTCAATTGGACCCTGCGATTTGTTGAGTTTATCGGTTTATTGATTTGTGAATACAAGTTTTATAGAATTTGTGTGACCCTAGCTTGGTTCTACTTGGCCTGACCGCTCTCGTGAAATCCTTTTCTTGGGAATGTCATGAACAGCGCCCGCTCGCTCTTATACACACACGCGGGCGTATCAGACCAGCTCAAGCACGGAGGTCTGAGGTTAACATGTTCGTATGAGAAGAGAGCATTTTTTGCACGCAGCCGCTCAGTATTGAATAGCATCGGAGTCCAAATGGTGCCTACCAACTATTTGCCCAAAGGTGAAATAAGGTCACTCCGAGCCCTGGGAAGGTGGCCCACCTTGGTTTTGAGGTTCCTGATCGTATTGATCCATCTGATTCCTGCCACCTTCTTCGTCTGCTCCGAGAGTCCTGCCTTCCACAGCTGCCGCCAGTTCGCTGGATGCCACCTTCAGCGAGGGGCGAGTGACTCCCGTGAGTGGCGTGCAGTTTGGGTGCGGCTCCCTGCCTGCTCAGCCTCCTCAGCCTCCGCAGCCTCCGCAGCCTCCTCTGCATCACGCTTGGCTTCACCTGGGCCAGCAACGACCCAGACTTGGTTTGGAAGACTTCTAGGGCACCTGCCAGTGGCACTGGAAACATATAGGGCACAACGGGCACAACCGCGCGGAGACTGAGGAAACGGTCAGCATTGAATGGAACATCCCTCAGAAATTGTGGAATTTAAGATGTCCCTAACAATCCTTTGAGCCTGCCATCTGTTGGGGTCTGAGGAGGGGGAATTGGAACTTGGCAGGCCTTCCCGACTCGCCAGGATGTCGATGTCCTCACTTCAGACGCCTCCTTCAGTTCTCTACTCCACGTTGGCATAGCCCCCGAGACCACCTTGAGTGTTGCCTTGAGGCACCCTCTGGATGCACATATCATGACTCAGCTTGGACACCATGGGAGCTGAGGCGGATCCTTCTCGCATCTCAACATTTTTGGCTTGACCATTGGGTATCTTCCTGGTGTTGGCTGCGCGTAGCAGAACACCCCAAGGAAGGGGATGCACACGAGGCATCATGGACTCCAGCCCAACACGGAGCAGCGCTTTTGCGCGACTCGGCCAGGAGCTTGCTCTAGAAAGCTCAAGCTCCTGAGGCACTCGCGCTTAGATGCCTAAGGGGCGATGTGGCCACAGCACAAACCCCTATACTGTTCCAGATCGCCTACATTACGTTTCCTGAACTCAAAGTCCGGTCAGAGTGCGGCTATGGGCACGGACTACGCATGGAAGAGACTCAGAGATGCTAGGGGTTGCGCTCCAACGCCCTGAGAACTGGCGGAAGAAAAGGAAAAACTATATATATATACAAGTACATAGTTTGTTTGTACATGTTTGTACTTTGCTTTCGCGCTCTTTTGAAGCCCGTATTGGGGAATGTCATATATTACAACCGAAGAACCCAAGGAAAGGCGTTCGACTTTCCACATTTGTCATTTGTGTGAGCTTGTTGATGCCTAATACATCCTAATACAGGTTTCAATAGAAAAAATTAGTATAAAGTTTCCCGGAAATGTTGGTCCACCTTGGTTTTGAGGTTCCTGATCGTATTGATCCATCTGATTCCTGCCACCTTCTTCGTCTGCCCCGAGAGTCTTGCCTTCCACAGCTGCCGCTAGTTCGCTGGACGCCACCTTCAGCGAGGGGCGAGTGACTCCCGTGAGTGGCGTGCAGTTTGGGTGTGGCTCCCTGCCTGCTCAGCCTCCTCAGCCTCCGCAGCCTCCGCTGCCTCCGCAGCCTCCTCTGCATCACGCTTGGCTTCACCTAGGCCAGCAACGACCCAGACTTGGTTCTAGGCTTAGGTTTGGCAATGACGGCGATATATGACCAACCATCAAATATGCATGTGTTGAAACAACCCCCCAAAAAAGGAGCAAAACAAAAGCGAATCAACATGCAAAAGCAAAGCAAGTTTCCTTGTTGTTGCATGTGTTTGCTTGTTTTTGGCTTTTTCCTGGTACCATGTTTGCACTTATGAGAACGTTTACCCGCGAAAAAGATTGAAAACATACAAAAAAAGATGCGAAAATAGAGCCAAAGCATGAAAATAAACTGTGAAAAAAAAACAGAGAAAGGCGACAACCACGCAAAGCTACATGTTTGTGCTTTTCTGTTTGCTTTACTTTTGCTTCTTCTTATTACTTTTATTTCTTCTTCTTCTTCTTCTTCTTCGTCTTCGTCTTCGTCTTCTTCTTCTTTCTTCTTTCTTCTTTCTTCTTCTTTCTTCTTTCTTCTTTCTTCTTCTTCTTTGCTGTGCTTTTGCTTGAGATTTTTTTTGGGTTCCTTGTTTCTATGGCTGCTGTGCCGGACATAATTCTAGGGGATCTGCCAGTGGAGCTGGAAACATCAAAGCAATACGGCACAACGGGCACAACCGCGTGGAGACTGAGGAAACGGTCAGCATTGAATGGAAAATCCCTCAATAATGAATTGGCCAAGTTATCCACGCCCAATCAATGGGCACAGGAACTCTCAATTGCATGCAGTTTCGGACTGAGTTGTGTCCTGAGTGACCCCACGCAAGCGACGCACTTTCATTGCGCGTCTCACCTCCTGAGAAAGGCTCAACAAGAAGGTGAAAATTGATAAACAACTTCCCTCGGAAATGGGGCCTGGAGGATAGTAGAAAAATCTACACAACTCACAAAGAAAGACATTGCAAGAAGTACAGCATGGCTTGGGCTCTTCACTCTTGCTACAATTTCACTCATGTCACTGGCCTCTTCGTAGCGTTCCTGCAGCCGTGCAGGGTCGAAAAAGTCGGAACCTGGAAAGCAGCTGCAAGCTGTAGACGAAAAGGAACACCAAGTGAAAGTGCAAGCACGGCGACTCAATCCTGTGAAATGCCTTTGGTCATCATCCCAACTGGAAACAGTGATCAGGAAAGGTCAAAGGTCCATTGAAAGCAGTCCTTCGGGGGCTCTAAAAGGAAGTTAAATTACCATGTCTGATGATGACACCAAAATTGTGGGGCCCTTAAACACCGCAGTCACGCCTAGGTATTTCTTTTTCTCCTTGCCGTTGAGGAATGGAGAGCCGTCGCCTCTCACGTCCTTTGCAAGAGTGTCTGACAAGTAGTTCTGCCTAGGGCATCTGACAAGGGCATCTCGTTTGAAGCATGGATTCTGCAACATTCTTCCATCGTCTAGTCAGCTATGCTGCAACAAGCTGCCCATTCACCCCACATCCTCGCGCTCAATGTCGGGCATCTCTGTTGCCACAAACTCCACGCTGCCTGCCGTACGATTGCAAGCCCCAAGTCGAAAAGCATGTGCAATGAAATGAGTGCACCTCAGTGCACCTCTGAACCTATAACCGCATGCAAGTGTCGCGGCAACTACTACAGAACAAGTGCAAACTCGGATGGTTTGAACCCCATGTCCGAGTTGCAAACCAAATATTGACGACACCCTAAAAATACAACCTACCATGGCCAGCCGTGGTTCCTATAGCCAGGTGTCAACTACCTTAAACCCTAAACCCTGAACCCTAAACGCTCAGCTGGGCTCTGCTCGGCTGGGATCGCGGGAGATTCCTTATCAGATTTACAGTAATCAGTCTCCCTTTTTGGCACAATACAAGCTTGCCTCGATCTCCAACATACACTTTGCTTTGTCCATAAAGGCTGTCGTTCTACTTTGCTTTGCAACAGCCTCAACTCAATCCCCATCTTTTGATTCGTCCGTCTCTTGCGGCCTGGCTGGCAGTCAACATACTGCGCCTGCGCAGCGGGGGTATTGCCCAGCAAAACAACTTGACGTAGTGCATCAGGAGCTTGTTCAGTCCTGCCCTTATATACCTATCTTGACTACACGGCAAGCCGGACGACCGTCATTGCTTCCAATCAAAAAGCAACAACTTGCTTTGCATCCTGCCAAAGTAACTACAACTCTGCATTCCTGGCCTTCAGAGGGATTCGGTTCAAAAGCGCTTGCCCCTCTGGGGTGCTAAAACAGTCTGGGACTCAGCCGCGCGAGCACAGTGCCAACACAGGTGGAGGCAGGTAGGGAGGAGTTTCAAGACTAAATGACCAAATGCTGCTACGGTAAATGATCAGGTCAGCTTTGCACTGTTTTTAAGTATTCCCGTACTACGTCTATCCGCAAACTGACCAGTCCACAAGAATTATTCAACATCATTACATATAATTATTCAACTCATTATCATGCTGCGTTGATTCGCACTATATATAGGTTGTCATCATGGTAAGAGCATGCGCGCCACATCAGCTTCGCTACATTGCAGCCCCACAACACAGAACCGTTAGAATAATGATGTCCCTTGAATTTCTTTAATATATCATACCCGTATTGGCGTTGCTGTGCATCTGATACTACCAGGCTCAAAATGATATATAACGAACAATGCGGACACCCAATAGTGAGAAGAATGCCCTGGGCACATGATCTAGCACTTTAGCGGGTCACAGCATGAGCCACAGTGTTGCACAGGCACTGGGCCGCCGACAAAATTCAATGTTAAGAGCCTGAGAACTCGAAACGTGGCAGGTCCAACGGTGGGGATGCCCCATAAGCACATTCTGGAGAGAGGTCCGGTATTGCTTGTGGTCAGGTTGGGCATTGTGGTCATGGTGCGTGACTTTTTCAGTACATGTGTCCGCCAAACACGATCAAGCAGCTTGAGGCGGCATCTTTTATCTCTTTGGAGCAACAACTCCTTGAAGACTAGTGACTTGTGGTCGACGGGCTCAGCATCAGTTAGGAATTTGTACAAATTGAGCGTCGAGCATCGCACCTCACATGTCCATGACATCATAGCTCATGGCACCACCCACCTGTCGGTCCGCAGCCGACATGTCTAGAAGACTGGTCTTCCGGACGTAGGACTCGCTTGTGACCACCTCTTGCTCAAACCAGCTTATCCTCTGGGAGATGTCAATGATCTTTGCCAACTTGCCCTGTAGCTTTTGCATCATGTCCATGTCCAGATTCTCATCTGCATCTTCGAAGGACACGTTGCCGGTCTGTTGGTCGATCCTTGCCTTGATCTCTCCTTCTGAGATCATGTCGAACAGAATGGCCTCAACTTCATTGGTATCAGTGGGCATCCCTGCCTCACTAGCTATTTCAGACAGTGACAGTGTCAGGTATGTCTTGGTCAATGTCAAAATTTTGTGGCGCTGCATCGAAGCCAAGGCCTGTTTCACCAGGCCCATGTTTTGATCCGCCTCAATGGCTGGCTGCTTCTCCTCTATGATCCGCTGAAGGGCAGTTGCATCTGCTGTTTTGAAGGACTCGGCAATCTCTAAAACGTAGCTGGCACTCTTGGAGTATCTTTGGAGGATATGGGACGTGTAGACTGGAAGTGGCTTCACTTCACCATGCACCTTGAGACATAGCAGTACATACTTCTTGTACGCATCTGCCTGGATAGCGCTCAAGCATGAAGCTGGACATGTCAAAGCAACCAGCAGTAGCTGAATAGCTTTGGCATACTCCCGAGTGCCAATGCGCACCAAAGCTCCATAGTAGAAGAAACTAAGAAAGCTCTGAGGCGTTACTTGTGCAGGGCTGTTGCTGCTATTGCCGCCAGTACTGATTGAGATGTCATAAATGGCTTGATCCAACAACTGCGCCGCTATATGGTACACCTTCACTTTCAAACCTTGGCTGAATTGGTCAAAGTTGACATGAAAAATAGAAGTACAACAATGACAATACCTTCATTGTGGTAAGGACATGGAGCCACCCAAAAAATTGATTTTACACCATCGCTCAGAAACACACCCTCAGAAACTCCGCGTGCACTGGTGTGAGAGTCTCGGGCGTGTCCTGGAGCTTCTCAAGGCCAGCACGCAGTGGCTTCAAGCTCATTAGCATAGCTGGCTGCCCCAAATCGATGGCCATCTGAGCAAAACTTCGGCACACGGCTGTCATGGGGGAGGCGGCTTTCTTGGCCTGTTGACTGTCCGCGACCTTGAGGAAATTGCAAATGAAGGCGAAGGTTGCACGTTGGTTGGAAAAGAAGCCGGCACTCAGCTGCGCCTGCAGGAGGAATGCCGTTCCCAAGGTGCACTGCACAGGATCCAGGGCTTGAAGTGCCTGGTCAATCTGACTGGCATTTGCCTTCAAAGTCTCTTGCTCGTGTCTGAGGAAGTCCTTGAGCTTCTTCAAGTCACTTTCATTCTGGGTTGACAGGGTGTGGATCTGATGGACAATGCTGTCCATGACTTTCTTGGGCACAACCGCACAAAGCGACTGTGTGCTGGAGCCACCCTCTGCCTTCTTGAAGGCCTTGGTTCCTTGTTGTCTGTGCCTGGTACGAAACCAAAAGCTTGAGCCAACATGCTACAGGCATTCACAAGTACAAACTGAGAATCGAGAACGATGGGATAGCACGGAAGCATGGCTTTGCCAGCTCTGTCCACATTCCTGGGCCAGACCTCAGACTGTGCTGCTTGCTTCACTGTCTTTGGCTTCGTCACAGCACTGCACCACTTCTTGTGGCATCACGGGCTTGGATTGGGCCAGGACCTTCGAGCTTCGAAACCATCATTTTGTGGATAGCTCCGGAAGCTGTCAGGGGAGTCTTTAGCTGCACAATCCAACACTTGTAGGTGATGAGCGTTCAAAGGCTTGTTGGTCTCGGCCTAACGCGTCAAGGGCCGCGAAGTGCAGTGATACAAATCTCCAGGTGCTCCCAAGCCTGGGGTGAAACGCAAACTCCGTCCGCTGGAGCCTGGCCGGACTATTGGCAGGGCTCCCTGAGAGTCAGATCTCACCTTCGATGGGACACCTGGACAGGTCAAATGCACTCTGACGTTCGAAGGTGCCTAGAAAAGTCTCGAGATCGGGTGCCTACAAAGGTCCGCATACCCAGATTTACCCGGAATCAAAAACAACTTGCGACCACTACATAGCTTAAGGAAAAGCCAGCTGTGCAAGCTTGGTCCCAGAGGCATATCCAACTACCTCCCCTCTCCCAAATAAATGCTCTTGTTTCACCAGGATTGATCATCCCCTTTTGCAATCATGAGTGGGAAATGACAATCACCACGTGACTCTGGTGAAAAACTGCTAAGTTCTTCCTTCCAGCTTTGGCTGTTGCAAAGTGCTGCCAAAGAACGACTGTCAAGACGTGGGATCTCGTTGCTTTGGCTTCGCACCAGTGACTTGGCAGAGGTACGCCACTCGCGTGGATCCCCACGAAAAGCTGGCACCTTCCTGGACGGAGGCTGTGGGCCAACAGGCTCTTCATACTGTTCGTCTCTCAAAAAAACAAAGAAAGTCAAGGCTGTCAATGTGTCAAAGGTCCTCCTTCGCGGTACCCTTCGACAGCTTTCCTCCACTGGAAAGATCGGCAAATCTTTGAGAAACCAAACAGGCGCCTGCAGGGTCGTCAAAAGTCAATCAAACGAAAACAAGAAAACTTCATCTCCACCCTTCGTGTACAATCAGATGGTTGCAGTGGAGAACATGCTGAATGGTTGCAAGCACCCTTGCACCAGCAATATCGACCGATCTTCCAAGGACGTCAATGGCGTGCTGCCAAAGCCTTGCTCCGTCGCCATTTCGGATGGCTTGGAGTTGGCATTGTTCGGCTTGCCTGGTTGGAGCCAAATCATTGACAGGAACTGATGCTTGGCCACGCACATAAAACTTCGCCGGATTTCTTGATCCAAACGAAGGAAAAGCGTTGTCTCCATGCATGGCCCAAGATTTCATCTGGGGGACCCAACTGCATGGCTTGTGGCTGCAGCTTTGACAGCATTGCGAAGTTGCAATGAGAGTGCCTCTGAAAACAATGCAGGAAGGCACAATTGAAAACATATACGATATAATACAAGCTAGTTACTAGTAGCGACAGCTTCCTCCTACTTAGCTACTGCCCCTGACCGGCCCACCGGGCTTTGAACAAAAACGGTCTTCAGATGTTTAACAGCTATATATATATATATATATACCTCGCCTGTCGAATCTGCTGCTCATGTTCCCGGCAACGATCATACCTTGGATGTCCAAACAGAGGTTCAGGGAAGCAGCCGGTAGCAGGCTGCCAAACTGATCCGAACTGGAATGCATCTCTCTGAGCAGCCCTGCCAGTCTCTGCACTCTGGATTCGAACCCACTGCCAGAATGAAATCGTATTGGGGAACACCTGAGTCAAGCTGGGTGGGCTGGGCCTCAACAAAACTTATAGTGAAATGTGTAAAAACATCATTGCTAAACCACACAGGCAAGGGTTCGCAGGAACCACTAAGGCAACGACGGTAGGCCAAGCAACTAGATGCTGCTCTTAGTAGTGCATCATGCTTCGCCAAAAGCCCTTCTGGGACGTAGCTGCCTCGGCCCGGAATACTCCAACCAGTGTGTAAACTGCGAAGTTTTGGCACCCTGTTTTATGCAGAAAATGCGAAAACAGAAGCCTGCAGCACCAATTCATTTGCGTGGTTCTTACCAAGCCGAAGAGCCGGATTTCATTCGGCAAATGTAGCGCCCTGTGCTCAACTCCAAACGGGCCAAGCCAGAGGCCAGCACACCAAAGTGAGGGCCAGAGGGGTGCGTATCCTGAGCCGGCAAAGAAACGCCCCAGGCACAAGCTGGATCTGGCTGGCCTGGTTCCCATTTGGTCCCTTTAGCAGGTGCTTGATTTGTATTTCCAATCCAGGATGTGGGAATGCAACAAATTGATTGCTTTTGGCAAGCAGCTGGCACAGGCCACCAGGCTTCACCTAGCACAAGAAATTGCAGATTCTTCCTCCTCTGAGAGATTGGTCATTGCTTGCCACCTACCGAAAAGTAACCCTCATCATTGCCTCAGCAAGCTCTCTCTCCCTCTCTCTGTCTGTCTGTCTGTCTGTCTGGCTGTCTGTCTGCCTTCCTTTCTTTTTTTCAGTCTTTCAGTCTTTCTGTCTGTCTGTTTTTTTTCCTTCCTTCCTTCCTTCCTTCCTTCCTTCCTTCCTTCCGTCCTTCCGTCCTTCCGTCCTTCCGTCCTTCCTTCCTTCCTTCCTTCCTTCTCTTTAGCTGATTGCCAACTGCTTTGCCTGCGGGGATGTCCATACGTTCGGCCACCAGAGCCACCAGGGAGGCGCAAGCACTGGCATAGGCAGGCACGCCTAGCAGGGCAAACGAGCACATGCGAATCAGATCGTGCAACTGCTGCGGACCACTAATGGCAAAACCCAAAAGTGTGCAAAACCCGCCGCGTCCGTCACACCCACCCGTCACCCTGCCACGTGCAATGAAGGTGCAAATAGGAAGGGGAATGTGGAGATTGATGCTCGGTTCCCTTCTTTTGTAATTTGTCACTATATATGCCCTATGCACGTTACTCATCCTACTCGTGCCTACGGAGTGGTTCCTATAGCTTCGCTCCGTGATAGGCACTAAAGAAATTTTGGTTGTTGCATAAGTGAAAGGCAAGTGCATTTCCGGAATTTTTTGATGCGGCATCGTGAGATAGAGTGTGTGTGTGTACCCCTCTTGGAATCACAGGGATCCGTTAGGATTGGCACATCAGCAGGGGGCTGGAGTGTGCTTCATGTGGCAACCGCTTTCGAGTCAGTACGCGCGTCAATAAGTGTGTCTCTCCTCAGTGAGAGCCCAGGGTGACCCCGACGAGTGGCCCCTGTGGACCCGTTGAACGGGGGTGCGTCGTTGTTTCCCTTGCTTTGGGAGCGGGCGGAGTAAGCTTAAGCCAAAGTCATTTGCCAAGACCTGTTGAACTATTGAATTCCAAGCTTACAGCCTCCAGGCAAGCCTTTAGGTGACCGCAGCGGTCGTGAGTAGGGCACGTCGTACGTGGTCGCAGCGACCGAAGCTTTCAAGGTTCATTGGAACCTGTCGCAATCTGAGGCGCACACACAGCGTATACACTTAAGCGAGGCGAGGTCTACCTATAGTGTCTCTAATGAGGTTTGGTTTTGTTGGTTTCCGTCCCCTTCATTTGGTTTCCCCTCTCATTCTTTTCCCCTTGACATACCTTCTTTTCCTCCTTCGTTTCACATCTTCCTGTCTTCATGTTCTGTCATCTCATCTCTTTCCTTCTTTTGCGCACACACGGCTCTGCCCTTAGTATGTACGTGCGAGACCTATGCAGGTTTCAGGCCGCCCAGGTCTTTACAATGAGGTCGCTTTCATCGTTTGTCCCTGTGCACTTGGTTCCCTTTCATCGCAACCACATACACCTTTGTCCCGTCTGGCAACCACATACACCTTTGTCCCGTCTGGTCCCCTTTTCGTGTCTTCATTCTTTTGTCTTTGCTGCGCACACACACACATACACGCATATCCTTCCTGGCCTTGGCTCTTCTCGCCTCCTAGCGGGAGGCGTGTGTGTCTGTGTACCCCTTGGAATCACAGGGATCCAATAGGATTGGCACCCCAGCAGGGGGCTGGAGTGTGCTTCAGATGTCTCCAGCCAATGAAGACGCATCTGTCGCACTGTGATATAGCTCTGGGACGCCAGAACTACGTACCTGCTGAGTGATAATTTCATCCCCCTTCATTGTTAGGTTGGATGCTTTTAGATGCATTTTATAAACTTTGGGCCCTATAAAGTTGCCTAGAGAGGGTGGATTTTCTATAAAATGCCAAATTGAGCAAAAAACATCCAAACTATAAAATGGGGAAGGTGGATTCTGAACATTGCGCCGAAAAAAAACAGCAGGCCTATAGGCCTATATGATGCCCATGATGGGTTCACCATAGCAAATATACAAAAAACACTCTGTCTTTATAATGCAACGCGTGGGCGCAAGCACAAAAAAAGGCGAACGGCAAGCCACAATTTCCAAAACTATGAAATGCCAAAACAAAAGTCGCAGCACATTTCTTCTCATGGCCAGCGAATCTAAGTGATTCGTTACACCCTCACAGGCATTCATCACAAGCCTACCCCTGGGGGGGGGCTGTGGGTTGGCATATGGATGATGTATGACGATGCCGCTTTGGAGGGTGGCAATATATAAAATGCCATTGGATGGTGCCGGGTGAGGTTGGGCGAGCCTGCTGCCCAAGTGCAGCAGCGCGGAAACCATCCTCCTACCTTGCCCCCTTGTTTCGTTATTTAAGTTATTCACCCTTGTTCTGGCAGCTTTGAGGAAGCCGTGACTTGGTGCTGCATGGACAGCTTACAGGCAGGTGAAAGCTGCCTCTTTTTGCAAAAACCCACCCACCCTCCCCTGTGTTTGCCCCAAAAGATTCTGTGACAACAGTTTTTCACCAAT